GACCCTAATGACAAACCATGGTCTCTAAATACGAAAGGCAGACATTGGAGGAAATGGATCAGCAAGGGAATATGGAAAATAGATCATCTGTGGAATTCAAAGGAAAACAGATGGGCTTCTACACAAGAACTTAGAAATAAACTCAAGGGGATCCACAACGTAAGGGAACAGCTAGAGAAAATAATAGAAAGTGTTCCATTAAGCTGGGTACGGCTCCTTAAGAACAAAATCCATTGGGAAGTAGGAGATTGGGCAACAACAAAAGAATCGGACACCCCAACTTTGGCCTTCAAGCTGATCAAAATTCTGAATGAAGAAGAAGGGACAGTCGAACTTGCCTCCTACGAATTAGAAGAAACACACAAATCGTGGGTAAAAGTGGGCAAGGTTATAGACCCAGTAAAAGAAGGAGAGCTAAAAAAACTCAGAAGAATAAGAGCCTGTACATTCAAAAAAAGCTCAAGACACATTCAATCTAACCAATTGGATCTTAACAAAATAAGACTCTTCAGGCCAGACCTAGATATTAGAGATCTGGAAGTAGACCCAGCGGAATGGGGTTGGAAGGTTCCCAGTACGTCGGGAAGAGCCAAAAAGCTCACACCAATATATCAGTATGAGGTTAAAACAGGGTATAAGGTACGAAACCAGACAAAAAACCCGCTCCCGATAATATCAGAAAGGTGGAAAAAGAATTTGAATGGAAACTCGGGATGGACAACGAATATTCCCTGGGAACAGTACATGAGTATTAGACCGGCAAGGATCAGAGGACTACAATGGCTCATACTATACTGGGCTCTACCTGTCAATCAGTGGCTGGCTAAAAGAAGAAAACAAGAGGACCTTCAGCATCAAAGCGCACAGTGCAAGGTCTGCAATGAGAACATGGAGGAATCAATGGTTCACTGCCTAATTTCCTGCCAACGAGCTCAGGAAATGTGGAAAGAAACAAAAGAGTTGTGGGCAAAGTTAACGGGCCATGAATTCCCTTCCAACCCTCTTTACCTGCTAACAGGAAGGCACGAAAATGAGAACCTAGAAGAGGAAACAGAAAYAGTAACAGAACTATGGAGACGAGCAACACTCTGGGTAATATGGAAAGCGAGGTGTAAAGGAACCTTGGGGGGCCAGACACCAAGCATAGAAGAAAAAAGGACGGAAATAAAAAATATAATTCAAACTGAAATAAGAGCTCGCTGGTATAGAGAGCAAAAAGCTCAACAGAGGATTTTTCAACCAGAAAAGAGAGAACTAAGAAGGAAAAACTTTGTTAAAACATGGCTAATAGGAGAAAAAATAGCGAAACTAGAAGGGGAAAGCCTGCTCTTCACAGCTTGGAATTAAAGTAGATTTCCCACCGGTTACCTTGAAGACACAAGCCCGTAGGAAAGAAAGCAATCTGTACAGATCAAAACCCGGTCGCAACCTGCCCTGTCAACAAATCGGAGAACTGCTTCCAATCCCTCAGACACTGTAGAGCAGCGACAGATTTTTGGGAGAAAGCCTTCAATCACCGCATTACCATGCACTCTAACCTCTTCCCCGAACACCCCAAACACCCCAGGCAACTACACCTTCGGACTAACATCCCAACCCATTCCCACAAAAAGACAAGGCGTGTCCAGCTCAAGGAAAAGTGTGGGTGAAGACAAGGTCCCAGATGCATGCTGAAATACTCTGCAAAGGGCGAAAGGCACAGCAATCTCAACCGGTGGACGAAAATCAGCGGCTAAAAACCCAGGACAAAACTATCAAACTCTAGTTATTGGACGAGAAGGGACCGACTGGAGTAAAGGCCGGAGCTGATGGAAGGACTGGCACAATTCGGGCATGAGCAGAAGATCCCAACAAGACCAATCAAGTACAGGAAGGAGGCAAGCTCCACACTGGAAGGACCAAGAGGAATAGAAAGAGCTACAAAACATTGGTAACAGGCCAAACTTGAAAAACAGAGTGAGGTATGGGAAACGACTTTACATCTGAGGGTTTAGGGTTTAGGGTTTAGAGTGCAGCGAGAGTTAAAAATCGTCAGGGATCACTAAAGGCGGCCAAGTACACCACACACAGAGACAGGGGAAAGGAACGTGACAGCAGGACGAGCTCTTCCTAGCACAAATAGAATTATCTGGCAGACTGGAGATTGTAAGTCTGAGAAGGAAGAGAGAGGGGAGGCAAGATGGCGGCCAATCCTTCACCAAGGCGGAGTAATCAACGCTGTCCAGGGAGGGAAGGAAGCCTGTGAAAGACGGTTACACAGTTGAATAGCAACAGGGGATCTCGACAGGGAACAGAGAGGGTTTAAGTATGAAGGATCGCAGATACAAACAAGCATCCGGGCTGATTCTCGAGTGAAAACCAGGACGGATTTAGCAGAAATATTTCTTACCGGTAACTTCAACCACCGACAAGTCAGGACAGCATCTAGACCTAGGGATTAGCATTTTATGGTTTAAACTTTTAAGACAGGAACAATGTTAATGCTGTCATAGAGCTAAAGAGGCGTTAAATAAACGCATAAACGTTCCCAAATGCTCTGGCTTTTCAAGGATACCTGACAGCATCATAGCTGAGAGGAGCAGTCCCGGGAGCAGTCAGATCGACAGCCAAGCAAGTATAGGCTAAATTAGGCACGGGTGAGAGGGGGTACATCCTTCCTCAGGGAAGTAATCAATGCCGCCCGCTCGGGCCTCTCAGCCATAATGGGGAGGAGCGTCTGTGAATCTTTCATGTATTCCATATTGACTTGCCGGGGGAATAGGAACCGGACTGTCGCTCCCCAGAATGGTAGGAGCCAGAACCCGAAGGTTCTGCTTATTTAAAAAAAAAAAAAAAAAAAGATTTCACAGCTCGAGAAGTGGAAATAAACAGAAATTGAAATAATGGAATAGAATGGAGGAAGGAAGGAAAAAGCAAAACTCAACTTCGAGACAGTGCAAGAATTGACAACTCCAGAAGTGGACATACACAAAGAAAGGAATATAATGGAGAAGGAAAGAAGAAGAAGAACAAATACACAAGTTTGAGCCAATGTCTCCTCCTCCTCCTCCTCCTCCTCCTCCTCCTCCTCCTCTCATTGCCATCCTCCCCTTTGCAGATCATCTTCTCTTCCTCTTATGAACAATGAGTTACAATAGTGGATGAATGAATGAGCAACAATGGATGTCCGATTAATCCCCCTCACTGCCAGCACTCAAAGAACTCTCCTTTCAGCCGCACTCTCACTCCTTTCCTCTCAGTTGCACGTCTTAGGTATGGTGGTTTGTCCATGACCACCACAGATTTTCAAGGACAACACTACTACTGTGCCTCTCCCATCTCATGCCGCCACGGCCGCTCTCCGGGATGAACTCTAAGACCAACTGGTACCCCAAGAGGGGCCTTCTAGATGCAACGTCAACCAAGGGAGTGGAGACAGAGGTCCACCATAGTGAAAGGTGTCTCTTGTTGGGTCCCTCCTCCCTCTACCTCATCCTCTACGTTCTTCCTCCAACCACCTCCATAGCCCGGCTTCCGGTTCTCGTCCTACTCCATTCTACTACTCCATACTCCATACTCCATAGCCATGGAGGTCTTCTTCGTCACCCCCAGATCCTCCACTTCAACCCAGAGATCAACCTAACACTTCCTCAGGGCAGAGCAGCAGCATGACTGCCAGTCGATCGCCTGGCCTACGCATTGCACCACGGCTCTCGGCCTCGAGTACCTCTACCAGTACACTAGGGCCAAACTGGTAGTTCCCGTCTTTCGACAGGAACATTATCGCAGCCTGATTGCACTTCCAGGGCCCCGAAATTACCCTAGTATCTGACTGCATTCGGGCCATGGATCGTCATGGCCTGCTTGGAAACTGGTGGGCCTTCCTAGGCCTACCTCGGTTGCTGGAAAATGCTACTGGGTCCCTGCAAAATTCAACTTTTGCCCTTGTTCATCCTGGACTTCCTTCTAAACCTGTCTGGTGTCCAGTTTCAGTCCTACCCCCGTCGCGATATCTATGTAGTATTTACTGTTCTACCCCTTCCAGGACGCGTGAGCACAGCGCAAGAACAAGTTAACTGCCAAGTGCTACTTTTGTCCTTGTTCCATCCGAGACTCTCTTCTAAGTAAGCCCATCCCGTGTCCAGTTTCAGTCTTCAGTTCTACCCCTGTCGCTATACCTATTTGCAGTTCTACCCCTTTCGGGACACACAAGCACTGCATGAGAATAGAGTTAACTGCCAAATTCTACTTTCGTCCTTGCCCGTCCTAGACTTTCCTGTAAAAGCCCGTCCGCTGTCCAATTTCAGTCTACCCCTGTTGCTATACCTATTCACTGTTCTATCCCCTCCAGGACACAGAAGTATAGCACGAGAACAGAGCTAACCCTCAGACACAGGCAACAGAGCAAACCAGACTCAGACTTGGAAATCCCAGCAAATCAGGCAAACAGATGCGCACAAGCGCACACATACATCCTCGCACAGACTCAGAGAACACTGCAAAAGAGACGAACTCGCGGAAATGTAAGCAAACAAACTTTCTCAGAAAGATGCAGGTTGCGCAGACTGAAAAATGCTTGGGTCATTATTGCAATTGTTATGTCTGTGGTATCTGTAGACTCTGTTTGTTTTTTTGTTTTTTTTAATTAGATCATTTCTCGATGAATTGAGTGTCATCCTTGTGCAGGGGTCATGCTAATCTTCTATGTATCGTTCCAAACTTAACGGATGTCCCGAAGGACATATCTGTAGACTCTGTATCCTTCAGCTAAACAGAAAGTTTCTTCTCAGAAGTGATAGGTTCCTTTTCCACTGGTGTAAGATTTGCTTGCAACTGGTTTTGAGTGTGGACACTGGATAGAAACAATGGGACAGTAATGGACCGATTGATGGACGGGTGGGTGGATGAATGTGTGCAAGGTTGAGCTGTTTGATTCAATCATAATACAACAACAGTTCATATGGGCAAAGAGCAAAGGTCAAGACAACACAGAGGTGGCTTGCTGAGGAGTGTCTTCCAACCTGTTGCCATGTAGGTGCCATCACGATCGTCACGTCACCTTCCCACTCCTGTGCAAATAGCTTAGTAAGCCCATAGAAGTTGAAACCCATCTCCAAGAGCTGTTTGCAGCGATGTTTCACCTCCATCTCCACAAGTTGCACAGCCTGTGAACATAACTAAATAAAGTGAGATGAAAATGTTTAATGTTACGATCCTGGCCAATTTTGAAGTACACATTCATGAGAATGTTCAATGCCGTCCAATTGCGAAAAGAAATGAATGAACTTGAGAGTAGAGAGAGGGAAAGAAGAAGAAGAAGAAGAAGAAGAAGAAGAAGAAAGAAAGAAGAAGAAAAAGAAGATGCACACCAGCAAAGACCAGTGATAGTTCCCTTCTTCTCGCCTACCATTCTCCTCCTCCTTTTCTCCTCCCCTCCTTTTTTTTTTTTTCTACATAATGTGTTGAGGAGTTTCTCCTTCGGAGACTATTGGCAAAGATCAGTAATGGTGCGATGATCTTTTGCAATCTAGGCTACGAAAGTGGCCCGGGACCACTTGCCCGGCCGGGCCAAAATAATCTGAAAATAAAAATAAACTTTAATAAAGTTAATAAACACATGAGCTTTTTTTTTTTTTTTTTTAACAGAACCTCGTGGTTCTGGCTCCTTCTATTCTGGGGAGCAACAGTCCGGTTCCTTTTCCCCCGGCAAGTCAATATGAAATACATTATGGCTGAGAGGCCCGAGTGGACGGCATTGATTACTTCCTTGAGGAAGGATGTACCACCCCTCACCCCTGCCTAATTTAGCCTGTTCTATCTCAGTTTGCCCAACCCTCTGATCCCAGTTCTACTCCTCTCACTTTTGAAACTGTCAGATAGGTGTGCTTTACCAGAGTGTTCTGGGACGCGTATGAATCCTATAAAAGGTTTTCCACTTTAACTCCTATTAGTGAAGGTTTTGTTTAAGTCCTAAGCTCTGCTCCCTTGGTTCTAATGATTCTTTAGTTTACAAATTCCTGGTCCAGGAGATAATATCTATTCTATTCCACAACCCTAAACCCCTTAACTTTCCTCCTCTCTATCTACTCTCTTAAACCCTAAACCCTACTGTCCCCCTTTCTGTAAATCCGATATGCTGAATTTATGTCTAGTGAAGTGTTTGGTGATTGTGTCGTTTCTAATAAGATGAAGTCTGTGGATCTGTCTCTCCCCTGCTGTTCCTCTCTCCTTTTCCATATCAAACGTGGGGGATCACCTTGTATTGTGCCGAGTTTACCCGTTCCAAGCCTGTCCTTGATGAATTTGTCTATTTTATGAATTGCTTTTTTGTGGGATCACCCTTGATGTGTTCTTGTTTGCTCGACGCCAATCTGCCTGATATTCCATGTGTAGAAGCTGAAGAACCAAATCCCAGGCCTCCCGGGTCGATGTATTTTGGTGTGATATCGTTTGTTTGCCTCGAGTCTTCCATTCGATCCACAGTGTAAAAGGACGAAGTCTTCTGAAGAGGGTTGAATGCCAGAGTTCTCTGAAACTTGGTTGTGCCATCCCTGTCACTAGAGTCGGTAGGTTGTCCGATAGCGATGCTCCTACTAGCTCCCCCGAGTACCACCGCGTTATGTTCCAAATTCTTTGTGCGTTAGGACAGTTTATCAGACAGTGTAGCATATCCTCGAGGGATCCATCCTCACAGACTGCGTAGCTATCATCAAAATCTCTTCTACCAGCTCCCGACCTTCTCCTGCTGAGCCATGTGTTGATCGGCAAGGCCTGATAGTATATGAGCCATTGCATGCATCTTATACGAGTACTGCTTATGGCTAGTGGGATCTGCCAGTCAAGCTTGTTTCTCCCAACGCTGAAACAAAATGAGCTCTGTGTTCACCGGGTTACGTCTAAGTTTATAGCCGTTTTCTCCTCCCCTCCGTATTTTACAATAAATAATAATAATAATGTTGAATGGCTGAACCAGAATCAATGTCCGAATCCCTCTTCTACTGCAGGCACAACATGAGGGCCACCATAGCCATGACCACTCTTCCCCTTCCTTCTCAACGCTGAGGCTATGGCGGACTATCTCCAAGCAACCGGTACCTCCTCCCTTTCGGAGGGAAACAACATTGCAGACTCTGATATTGCATGTACAGGCCCTAGACTCAGACTGGTTGGACTGGTACCCGCCTAGGCCTAGCCTACAACTACTGGGCCTCTAAAAATGCCAACTTTTGTCTTCTTCTGCTCGGCCTCGAGTAACCGGCCCATCTACTTCTACTTGGTGTGGTACTGGCCTACCTGCTACTTGAGTGTTTTTTCCGCTGCTCTAAGTGGCATGGGCCTCTTTCCCCGCCACTTGAGTGTTTTCCCCCTGCTGCATCCCTCAATGTCATGGCCACAGGTAAGTACCGGCCCTACGGGTCTCCCAAACAAGCAAGTACCCTTGTGGGTCACACACACACTCAGGCCGANGCATCCCTCAATGTCATGGCCACAGGTAAGTACCGGCCCTACGGGTCTCCCAAACAAGCAAGTACCCTTGTGGGTCACACACACACTCAGGCCGACCAGCACTCAGACAGGCATGCAGATCACCAAGTACGGACACACACAGACTTAGAAAACAGCAGAATGCGGGAATATCAGCAAGGCATCTATTCCATCGGCAAAACTCAGAAATCAGCAGTGTTCTCAGTCTGAAAAATATGGCGGGTCATTACAAAAACAAAAATTACATGCCCAAGAGGCGAATACACGTGGACATTGACGGGGGAGGGGCGTGCGTTAAACAGTGTTTTCTTAACCCCACGAATTCTCTCCAGGATTCCATCCACAAATCATCATAAACCGTCCATAGAAGAAAAGAAGTATGGGCGGGCAATATAATAGAAAATGCAAGCTTCCCCACGTTTGCGTGGTTGAGCGGGAAGTGCCCACAAACCCGGCTACCGCCGAAGCGGTACACTTGCACATATACCTATCGTCAAACAGAGCTGCCCGGTAAACCGTAGGCAGAGAGGGAGAAGAGGACAACAAATGAGGGGCTGTGACAATATATCTAGATATAATAATATATATCGTCACAAACAGAACTGCCCGGTAAACCGTAGGCAGAGACAGAGAAGAGGACAACAAACGAGGGGCTGTGACAATATATATCGTCAAACAGAGCTGCCTGCAAGGAAAATGAGCAATAGCGAGATGACAATATTCAGATTGCACAATCATATTGAAAGCCAGATCGTATCACAGTGTTCAGAAAGCAGCATTGCACCAATATGACACCAGTGGAGAATCGTAGCACTGAAAACCAATGTTAATGAGAGCTTGCTCTCGCCACCACCAACATATGTATCCAGTCCTTATCTCCCTACTTGGTGCTCAGCGCCCAGCCTACTCCCTACACAGCTACTACTAGCCTACTAATTGACAATGAAGTACTTGAAGATGTCGCCCATCCAGACCATCGCCAATACCAGGTATGTGCCCTCACATCATCATCATCATCCT